GAATGGCTCAATGTCACCCAGTTGACCTTCATGTCTAAAGTGGTTCTAGAACTCACAGACTCCCACTTTCTACCCTGGTGTCTTAACCACTACACCAAACTGGCTCTCTTCAATTTTCCTTAATGCCTCTTTGGTGGACAAGGACATGTTGGTTCCTTTGTAGGAGAGGCATTGGGGGCTGTATTTTGAATTCAGCTATTTGGGATATGTGTCTACCTGCTTCCAACCTCTCCTTTTTATAGGAAAGTTTGTTGAGAAGTTGGTGGGAATTTGGTTACAGAAAGTTGTAGAAGAAGAGATTAGCTGAGTCCTTTTAAATAAACTTTTAAAATCAGGTCTAGGACAGAAGAGATTTCTTGTTGTTATAGAAATGGCTAGTTTCTATTATTATGAAAAAGTAAAAAGTTGAGGGTAGAGCTTAATGCCTTATTTTATTGCACCACAGGAATCGGAAGTCAATGCCTTTTGGTTTTCTTTTCCCCTTCCTTTCCTTCACCATTCACTTCCTTTTTTCCTTTCCTAATTTCCCTAATATTTGCTTTTGTATTCTCTCTGTATGTTATATTATAAACTAATAAAAACTGTATGACTTTAAAAAAAACATAAAATCAGGTCTAGGACAATTCACCATGACCAACTCAAAGTGGCGAATTCGCTACGATCAACTCGCCTCGGGCATCTTGCCACGGGACAGTTCACCACGGCAACTTGCCCCGGGACAGTTCGCCACGGCCAACTTGCCATGGGACAATTTGCCACGGCCAACTTGCCGCGCAACAAAAGTTACATAATATTGAAGAAGTGGTGAAATAGAATCATGGAAGAAAGGATGCAAAAGGTGGAACAAAATAAAATGTGAACGACAAACATTAAAATATTTTTTTTTAAAAAATATTTTAATTCATTCAATGAAATTGTTGAATTGTCCTGCGACGAGTTTTGTTCCGTGGTGAGTTTATCCTTTCTATTTAAAGTCGGCATTTGGGCTGAGCATGGAACGGAAATAGCATTGCTGGTTTTTGTGGGTGACCTATGTGGGAAACTGGTGGAAGGAATGCAGCCCTCTTGGTTTTATTTCATTTCTCCATCCTGTTCAATACCATTAAGTATAGTATCTTTCCAAGAATTAGAGGCACTATTTTCAATAGGCCCATTCTTTCCAAAGCAAGTGGTGTCTGTTGTGGTCCACCAGCAGCCTGCAGAGCTGGCAGCGGAGTTGGACAGTGAGGAGGCTGGGGAGGACAATGGGCCAGTCCTGGAGTCTGGGGAAGGCCCGGATGAGGGCTCTGGGTCGGAGGCAGAGATGGGGCCAGGGCCATCTGGGAGTGATGTGCGGACTCCAGAGCCTCCAGAGGCGGACAGTAGAGAGGCAGAGGAACAGGAGAAGCCTGTTCCTAGTGCACGCATGCGCAGAGCTGCCAGAAGGCAAGAGCAGCTAAAGCAAAAAGGACGACTCAGGAGTAAGGCCAGGAGATGATTGGCCCCTCCCATAAGGCTTAAAAGAGCAGCAAAGGCTCTTGGGCTCTTTGTAGGAAAACAACATTGCTACATTTGTTTTTAGTCAGTGTCTCTTGTTTCTGAACTTCATGGGGCTTTGCCAAGAAAAGCCTTTGGCAGGGTGCCAAAGTAGACAAAGGTTTGTGATAAGTCTGAAGGACTTTTTCTGAAGGACTTGTTTTGGAATTAATTTGGACTAATTACTTCATTCCCAGCTGTTATAATAAAATAGGGTTGTTTAAGACTGATTGTGTCTTTTATGCCTAAGGGAGCCTAGGTCACAACAGTGTCAATCATTTTAGGGGGGAGAGAAATCAGATTGGGGAAATCTCCCTTGGGGTTGTTTTTAACCTTAGTTCACACTTCCTCTTTAACATCCACATGAAACCGCTGGGAGTGATTTGGTTCTGGGTGAGGCCTCATCAATTCCTTAATACAGGGGTGGGCAACTATGGCCCTTTAATGACTTCTGGACTTCACTCCCAGAATTCCTGAGCCAGCCATGCTAGCTCAGGAATTCTGGGGATTGAAGTCAACAAGTCATAAAAGGGCCATAGTTTCCCACCTCTGCCTTAATGACATTCTAAAATGATAGAATTATAGACTTGGATGGGATGATGAAGATTATATAGTCCAGCCCCCTGCCATATATTCAGGAAAACTAATCAAACCATTCTTAGACAGCCTCTTCTTAAAAAAGAAACTTTAGAGGTGGAGAACCCAACCTCCGTTGGCAGACTGATCCGCTGTTGTATACATCTTACCATCAAAAAGGTTTCCATTTAAATCAGAGGTGTCAAACTTTGGCAACTTTAAGACTTGTGGGACTTCAACTCCCAGAAGTCCTCAGCCGGCCACTTCAACTTCCAAAATGGCCCCATTCCCCAGCCAGCCATGCTGGCTGAAGAATTCTGGGAGTTGAAGTCCTCAAATCTTAAAAGTTGCCAAGGACGATTTAAACAAAATTTAGGTGAGTATAATTTATACTCATTTTTTTGGGTCCTGGTTTTTTTTTTTGTGGACATGGAGCAATAGTTCTTGTGACCACAATCCTTATAGCTTCTCTTTATGTAATTTATGTCTCCTTACCTCTTCTTTCAGTGGTGGATTTCAATTTTTTTTACTACCGGTTCTGTGGGTGTGGCTTGGTGGGTGTGGCATGGCTTGGTGGGCGTGGCATGGGAAGGATACTGTAAAATCTCCATTCCCACCCCACTCCAGGGGAAGGATACTGTAAAATCTCCATTCCCTCCCCACTCCAAGAGAAGGTTACTGCAAAATCCCCATTTCCTCCCGATCAGCTGGGACTTGGGAGGCAGAGAATAGATGGGAGCAGGGCCAGTCAGAATGTTTACTACCGGTTCTCCGAACTACTCATAATTTCCACTACTGGTTCTCCAGAACTGGTCAGAACCTGCTGAAACCCACCTCTATTTTCTTTCCTTCAGAATCCCGTTCTAATAATAATAATAACCTTTATTGTCACCCCACAACATATGTACAATGAGATTGGTGGAGCTCCCTCAGTCCACCTCCCCCCAACGCAATACAACTCATAGTGAAGACAGAAAATCCCTAATCCAATAAATCATATTAACAAAACACCCAGTCCTATTGCATCAGTGTGAACATATTACACATTGCGCCGGCCCTGCAAGTCCATCGTAGTACATAGTTATGAAGTTATTTCTCATTCAGGAGTCCGACAGCCCACGGATAAATTCCTTCCTCTTGCATTGTAATCCCAATCTTTACTGTCTTCCTCTGCAGCCTCTTTAATCTGTCAATATTCTTCTGAAAAAGCAGCGCTCCAAATAAGGTGTGATCCTACCTGTGTGATAAATAACGATAAATAATGACTTCTTGCATCTTTGATAACATCTTTGGTTTGAATCAATGATGGTATCAAAGCTCATAACTAGGTTAGCCTGACCCACATGGCTAACTCATATTCAACTTGTTGTCAGTGACTCAAGTCCATCTTAGATGCTTCCAAGTCATGAACCCCCATTTTGTATGTGTCTTCCACATTCGTTTCTTGCTAATGTAATGCCATATTTCTCCATGTTTTGTTCCTCCCAATTCAGTTTTCCAAGTGTTGAGCAAACCTCTCAGTCTTGTGTCATCATAACATTTTATTAAGCAGCTCATTAATTCCATCATCTAGATCAGTAGTTACAAAGCTCTGACCACAAGACCCATCTCTGCCTAACCCCATAGGTTGCTGATGTCCAGCTTGTTGATGTAGGATCATAAGTGGCGAAACTCTGAATTCAGTAGGGTTCTGATACTATCATTGTAATTTTGTTTTCATTTGGGGAGGTGTTCATTTATTACTTCAGATATTAAATATTATAGATATTTGATGGTTACCAATCACTTTCAACTGAGGAGAACTAGTATAAATCTCTACATAGTACAATTAGATAATATAATTAGTTTTGATCACTACACTATAAAAAAGATATTGAGACTCTAGAAAAAGTGCAGAGAAGAGCAACCAAGATGATTAGGGGACTGGAAGCTAAAACATACAATGAACAGTTGCAGGAACTGGGCACGGCTAGTCTAGTGAAGAGAAGGACCAGGGGAGAGATGATAGCAGTCTTCCAATATTTGAGGGGCTGCCACAAAGAGGAGGGGGGTCAACCTGTGTTCCAAAGCACCTGAAGGCCAGACAAGGAATAATGGATGGAAACGGATAAAAGAGAGATTCAACCTAGAAATAAGGAGAAATTTTCTGACAGTGAGAACAATCAACCAATGGAACAGAAGTTGCCTTCAGAAGTTGTGGGAGCTTCATCCCTGGAGGCTTTCAAGAAGAGACTGGATGGCCATCTGTTAGAAATGGTGTAGAGTCTCCTGCTTGGGCGGGGGGTTGGTCTAGATGACCTATAAGGTCCCTTCCAACTCTATTAATCCGTTAATAATAATGCAGGTAGTCCTTGACTTACAACCATAATTGAGCCTAAAATTACAGTTGTAAGTTGTGCCGGTCATTAAGCAGGTCATCATGTGATCATAACTGATTTTATGACATTTTTGCAGCAGCCTTTAAGTGAATCACCATGGTTGTTAAATGGATACTGCGGTTGTTAAGCAAACACAGCAGTTGTTCAGTGAATCCATTGTCTATAATGAGTGTTTTGTACCGGCAACCAGAAATAAACACCAGTTTCTAGCAAATAGTCATAAATTGAGCTCAAAAGACTGCTTTAAATGCAGGCTGGTTATTGAATACCCAAAATGTGATCAGTGACCTCAAGGGGTGTGTGTGTGTGTGTGTGTGTGTGTGTGTGTGTGTCCTGTAACTTGGAAGTAGCCTTGATGAGGTCTGTTGTAACTTCAACCCATCGTTTAATGACTGGCCATAAGTGGGAAACTACCTGTAGCAGGCAAGTCTGAATCCTTCATGAAAACAGTGTTCCAAAGAAGTATTTTAAGAAATTCGACTATTTATTGGCACTTAATGAACATTCATTTTTGGATTTTTTTTTTTCTAGATCAGGGAGCGTAACAACACACTGGTCAGAAATTGTTGAATTTGTGAAGCAGCTGACAGAAAGATTTGTGAGGTAAGTTGTCGAACGAGTTAGAAAGAACCATATTTCCTTTTTTTCTGGTAACTATTTTCTTTTTTTAATTTCCTGTTTTCCCTGGAGACCATGAATAGTTTCATAGATTGCAAATGAGTTCGAAACTAGATCTGGCTTGTTCTTAACAACATAAGAACGCCTGTTTTGTTGGGTCAAGTTGAAAAAGAAGCTGGAACATGTTTAGATCAGATTTCCAACACTTGCTAAGAATATCTCTAGAAATGGCCATTAAGAGTGGTGTTTGAGCCTGCATGACAGGATACCAGATACAATTCTGACCAAAATGACTGTTGTAAAGCAAAAAAATGAAGGGGCAGGAAAAGATTTAAAATATATTAAGATAAAAAAAAAACCACAACTATTTATCAGAATGTAAAAAGGAGTTGTTTTAAATCAGTCCTGCGGTGAAGAAGAAGAACAAAAACAGGAAATAACATTTTTGGTCCTTTAGTTTTTCTTCCCTCTGTTTCTTCTCTTTTTCATTATACAATCACACCTTTTCGTGCATTTTCAAGGAAAGCAGTTGTGGGACACCACTGAGTTTTCTGACTTTTTCCCAAGGATGTTACACAGATGTACCCAACATCTGCTTTAATAATGGCAGCATGATTTTGATCATGGTATTCCTCAGACAAGAACAAGATTATTTTAAAAGTTATAGACGACACTCGAGTCTAGTTAAACACAGGACTCTTTGAGTCCTGGAAGCAATTGCATAGACATCACCGCACTTAATTGTTTCCTATGGAAAATGCAGTACAGTTAGGCAATTGTGTTTGGCCAGCTGGTGGAAGAGGAATCTTAATTGCAACGCATCTTATCTTCGTAGGGCAGAAAACAAGGCCTCTATAGAATAAGGAAAGAAATCTGATTGGTTTTTCCTTTCCTGGGACAATGTAAATTAATAAAAAGAGTCATTGACAGAGGTCACGGGATCTGGAATTTCAGTTACTGGCAACAGAGATGCTTCTTCCTTCCAAAAATGATCTGATTGCCCATTCCTGAGACTTTTGGTCACTCTTGATTTCGACAAGAACTCCACCCTTTTTATTTCTGAACTGACTGGAACAAAAACGATTTGGTGGAATCGTTCTGAACAGCTTTTGAGATTTTTGTCCTTGTTTCCCCCACTCCTTCTTTCTCCAGGGGGGAAAAAAAGGAGGAAGGCTTCCAGGGTTCCACTGAAATGCTGTTCAGTGCAGCATATGGTAAAAATTCTGAGCAGGTTTCATTATAAGAATTAGATCACTCCAGTAAGGGTTGTACATCTGTTCTCCATTTTTTTTTTCTCCTTTTCTGGGCCTGAACGACGAAGGCCTGAAGTTACAACATAACACACGTTCGGTTTCTTTTCAAGAGCTTCAAACGTGCAGAGAGGATATTTTAAAAAAATTAATAATAGGAACGTATGCTTATGAATTTCTCCCAGAATGGGATTCCGTGATGGTGGGATTAAAAAAAAAAAAATCCAAACATACAAAAGGGTAAAAAAAAAGAAAAGAAAAAGTATTTGGCAATGATGGGATCTATCTTTAGACAAAAGAAAAATCGACTGAGGAAAATGCTTGAGATGGCTCCCTTGGATTAAATAATAACTAGCGGAGACAAAACAGCCCGCTTTGTGTGATAACAGTCTCTCCTTCATTTTTCGTGACAACTTGTGAGACGGATGCTTGACGTGGTCTTTCTGGACCTTCCTGGGCTGTAAAATGACCCTACACCAGGGGTGTCAAACTCGATTTCATTGAGGGCCGCATCGGGGTTGTAAGTGACCTCAGGGGGGCGTGGTGGGTGTGGCGGGCATGGGCGTGGCCATCTGAACATTGCTCATGTCAGGGGGACGCCTGTGGTGGCCTGGGAGGGACTGGAGGAATCCGTTGTCTCCAGTGGAGGAAGGCGAAACCTGGGCCACGCCTCCCGCCACCCTGAGGTCAACCACAACCCTGATGTGTTCCTCAATGAAATCGAGTTTGACACCCCTGTCCTTAAGATTCCTGCTGCTGTGCTCACTCTCCTTTGCCAGGTTGCTCATGGTATGTGTGAGAGCAGTGGTGGGATTCAGCCGGTTCGGGCAAACTGGTAATTAAATTGCTGGCTGACCCCTCCCCTCCCGCTCCTTCCAGGAGTCCCCAAGCACCCCATTGTGGCTCCCAGTTAAGTGCAGGGAGGCCTACTAGGCCCAAAACTGGGCACGGGGCGGTGTGGCACCCCCCCCCCCCCCCCCCCCTTTTCCCCCCCCGGGGGCTGGGGGGGGGCCCCCCAACCCCAAAAACTGGGCACGGGGGGGGGGGCCCCCCCCCCCCCCCCGCGACCCATTTTCACTCCCAGGAGGCTTGAGGGAGGCCTCCTAAACCCAAAACATTATAACACTGGTGTGTGTGGCGCGTCCCCTCCGCGGCCCGTTTTTGCTCCCAGGGGGAGTGCAGGAGGCCGAGTGCTGCCTGTCACACCCCTGGCCATGTCCACCATGGCCACGCCCACCCTATGGGCCAAAAATGAACAGAGAGAACACTATGGTCTAAACTCCTAAAAGGGAAAGCAACAGCTTAATTACAGAGAATTGTGGTTGGTTTGATCCAGAATGTGAATTGAGCAAAATCAAGCAGATCCAATATAAGAGAATATCTGTAATGCAGAACTGAACTGTGCAGCCTCTTTGTTCTCTGAGCTGTTTGCTTACAGACATTTCACTACCCAACTAGGTAACATCATCAGTTGAATATTGAAATGTCTGCAAGCAAATGACCAAGCTCAGAGAGCACCAAATCGAGCAGTATATATACTGCTTTCAGGACAGGTGAAATATAGAATTGCCGACCGACATGTTCTGTCTCGGATACTAGATAATGGTCTGTGTGATCAAATTAAAGACTCCTTGAAATGTTCTGGCTTACATGGCTGAATTTAATGGTTTTCTTTCTCTTTCTCATCTTCAAAAGCCCTCGGATGAGAATATCCTTCATCGTGTTTTCCATGCAAGCAACTGTGATTCTGCCACTAACCCAAGATAGGTAAGTAAATGTCGACATTGCCCGTTTTTAAATGCTATCAAATCCTCTTTTTTTTTTTAAGCCACAGAACTGTGAACCTCTTCGGCAATTAGAATTACACAGTTGCAATGATTGGATAAGTACAGGGATGGGCTTCAAAAATTTTAGCAAGGGGTTCTCTGCCCTGTTGCTGGGTGGGCGTGGCCATGGTGGGTGTGGCCTAGTCGGCCTCCTGCACCACGGCGGGTCTGTGTGTGTTTCCTCCCCCCCCCGGGCTCCGGAGACTAGAGTAAGGGAATGCTGCGATGGTTGTAAGTGTGAAAAACGGTCATAAAAACTGTCATGTTTTCAGTGCTGTTGTAACTTTGAACTGTCACTAAACAAAAGGTTGTAAGTCAAGGACTATTTGTGTATGTATGTATGTATGTATGTATGTATATGTGTGTGTGTGTATACACACACACACACATACACACACAAAATATATATATATATATATATATATATACAGAGGATATATATATATACTGTATATCCTCTGGCCCAGAATAATATATATTTCATAATAATATAAATTTCACGCTGCCCATGCTAAAGCTTCCATTGTGACACCCATAGGATTTCAAAACATTCTTACCAAGATTAACATTCTTACTAAAGTAACACAACTGTAAATTTAACAGTAACAGAGTTGGAAGGGACCTTGGAGGTCATCTAGTCCAACCCCCTGCTTCATGCAGGAGACCTATACTAGGGATTCGAACCACCGAACTGCCAACCTTTCTGATTGACAAGCTCAGTGTCTTAGCCACTGAGCCACCTAGCCAGGCTTATCATATACTGTGTGTATGCTATGTTTCCCTGGAAAAAAGACCCTTATATTTATAAAAAACACATTAAAAAATATTATATTTTTTGAACCCTGAAATAAGCACTTGGTCTTATTATTTTGGGGCGCGTGGAGCGAAACGGGGATCCTCTTGCCGTCTTACCTGCTTTCCAGCTTTGTCTCCCTAACCCTAACCAGAGGAAATGGTGGGGACCAGCTGCGCATGTGTTTAAATATTTTCAGGGAGATCTTATTTTCAGGGGAAGGTTTATTTTGGGGGGAGGTCTTATTTTCGGGAAAACACTGTACTTGCATAGAAGCCCATCTGTGGATAAGATGACCCTTGAATTTTTAACCAAATACCATGAAAAACAAACCCACGGACAAACAAACTTGCATTTCTCATGGTTTGTTTGGTTAAAAAATTGAGGGTCTGCTTATCTGTGGGTGGGCTTACACAGGAAATGTGAGCATCACTGTATATATTCATGGACAGGTTCATCTACTAATAAACTGAACCTGATCGTTCGGATGGAGTTTGACACCTGACATTCTCAGCTGATGTGGTGGAATGTAGTCTGGATTCCCAGGAGGGAGGGGCTGCATTCGAGAGGATCGAAGACTTAGATAGTTTGGTCAGGAGAAAGGAAGTTAAGAGGGCTCCTCCCTAGCAATTCTCAGAGAATATCTATGGTGATGTAGATAGTTACCCTTGGTTTGGCAAGATTTCTGTCTGTAGGTGAAGAACAATAAAGAAAACTGCTCTGAACCAACCCCATGTGTCTTTCTTGATTCTTGGGGCCTGGTATCTTGCCAGGGAGTGTACAGATAGTCCTGAATTTACGTCTACAATTGAGCCCCAAATTTTTGTTGCTAAGCAAGGCACTTGTTAAGTGAGTCATGGAATGGAATGGAATAGGATAGAATAGAATAGGATAGAATAGAATAGAATAGAATAGAATAGAATAGAATAGAATAGAATAGGAATAATAGGAATAAGACAGATTTGGAAGGGACCTTGGAGGTCTTCTAGTCCAACTCTCTGCTTAGGCAGGAAATCCTACACCAGACAAATGGTTACCCAATCTCTTCTTAAAAACTTCCAGTGTTGGAGCATTCGCAACTTCTGGAGGCAAGTTGTTCCACTGATTAATTGTTCTAACTGTCAGGAAATTTCTCCTTAGTTCTAAGTTGCTTCTCTCCTTGATTAGTTTCCACCCATTGCTTCTTGTCCTGCCCTCAGGTGCTTTGGAGAATAGCTTGACTCCCTCTTCTTTGTGGCAGCCCCTGAGATATCGGAGCACTGCTATCATGTCACCCCTAGTCCTTCTTTTCAGTATGTTTTTTCCCCCATAGTTGTTATGTGAATCACTACAGTTGTTAAGTGAATTATGCATTTAAGTGAATCTGGCTTCCCCCCTTGACTTGGCTTGACAAAATCTCACTAGAAATGTTGCAAATGACAAACCCAGAATCCCAGGATGCAGCAACCATTGTACAGTAAATGCATGCTGGTTGCCAAGCACACAAAGTTTGATCATGTGACTGTAGGGATGCTGTAAGGACATAAGTCTGAGAATTGGTCATAAGTCACTTTTTTCAGTGCATTATAACTTTGAACGATCGTTAAATGAATTATTGTAAATTTAGTTTTAATTCAGCATATTTAGTTTTAATTCAGTGGACAGTAAAGCACGAAAATTTATTTTTTTTCCCTTGACTCCATCCATTGCTTTTTGGAGTGCAGATGCTGATGTGTGACTCAAACTTCAAATTCAATCTTTGATTAAAAAAAAAATAAACCCCCCAAATCCAAAATGGCCACATTTTGAGTCTGCTTTCTCACTTCATTCTAGTGGCTTGTTATTAAAAGTGCCATGGTGGCCCAGTGGTTAGAATGCAGTATTACAGACTGCCCGTGGCCAGGCATTTGATCCTGACTGGCTCAAGGTTGACTCAACCTTCCATCCTTCCAAGGTCTGGCAAAATGAGGACCCAGATTGTTGGGGGCAATAGGCTGATATTTGTAAACCACTTAGAGAGCTCTGTAAAGCAGTATGGAGTGGTAAAGGTAAAGATAAAGGTTTCCCTCACACATGTGCTAGTCGTTTCTGACTCTAGGGGGCAGTGCTCATCTCTGTTTCAAAGCCAGCGCTGTCCAAAGATGTCTCCGTGGTCATGTGGCCGGCAGGACTAAACACCAAAGGTGCACAGAACGCTGTTACCTTCCCACCAAAGGTGGTCCCTATTTTTCTACTTGCATTTTTTACGTGCTTTTGAACTGCTAGGTTGGCAGAAGCTGGGACAAGTAACGGGAGCTCACCCCGTTATGCGGAACTAGGGATTCGAACCGCTGAACTGCCGACTTTTCGATCGACAAGCTCAGCGTCTTAGCCACTGAGCCACCGGGTGGTATTTAAGTATATAAGTGCTATTTCTATAGTTAGCGAAATCTTGGGGAACATTTTGAGAACTCTGCTATATCTTCTAGATTAGGGGTCCCCAACCCCCGGTCCATGGACCGGCAGTGGGTCGCGACATGCCAGAAACTGGGTTACGCAAACAACTGAAGCCTGTTGTGGCCTGTTGGCCACCGGTCCCTCCAGCAGTCAAATCAGAGGAGGAGAAGGCGTGGGACTCAGGATCAGCATCAAGGCAATCTAAGAGCTCCGAGGGGGAAGAGGGAATGGAGCTGGCAGAGAGAGAGAGAGAGACAGAGGCAGAGCCTAGGCCATCCGTCAGCCTTCAGATGGAGAGTCAACAGCCCCCAGGTCTGGAGGTGGCTGATGAGGAAGAGGAGGAACAGCTGGGTCCAGTGCCTGACGCGCGGATGCGCAGAAGGCAGAGGAGAGGAGAGCAGTGGAAATCTGTGGGCCGGTCCTTGGGCAGAAAAGCCACCTCTGCTAGCTCTGGGGATAAAAGGCAGGGGGCTGAAATGAATAGGTGTGGCAGACAACTATTCATCTCCCTGCGGGACAGACTTCTTAACCTGCGGTGAGCGAAACTTTTTGTCGGGGCTGCTGGCGCTCCTAATAAAGGAATCTTTGAGTTACCTTCAGAGGGTTTGTCGTGTTTGGGGAGCTGGGTCAGAACCAAGCCCCATTTGCGGGATGCTGACAGTACGCAAAATCACGCCCCCTCTGGTCTCGGAAAAAAACTCTCTCCACAGAACCGGTCCCTGGTGCCGAAAAGGTTTTGGGGGTGGGGGTGGGTGGGGTTGGGGCAACTCCTCTAGATGCTGAGTCACGTAGAAGCGTTCACGGGAGATGCTAATGTATTAATTGGGAGAGAGCCACGTGCCTTCTTCTCCAATCTGACATCAAGAAAGAAGGACTTGGCGCCACAAGCATTAAGTAGGGCTTTGGAAGGAAGACAACCAGCGTGATAACTGTGAGGGATAAAAATGTGCCTTTGCTGAAAGACAGAGGTGTGAGAAGCTTCTGCATATGTTCCACCGAGATGTTCTATTTGTAACTGTGAAGCCGTCTCCAAGTTGCCATCAACGGATTGTCTTCCTTTTGCTTTGGTCTCGAATTCTAAATGGGTTGCAGAAGAAACCTTTCCAGATTTCGTTCGGTTATTTCAAGGTAGTCGGGCTCTTCAGAAGTTGGGTGTTTTGCATTTGCTGTAGCAAACCATCACCTATTCCACTGTGCAAATGTCTGCTTTTGTTGTTTAAATATGTTTCGATGTGTACACAATGACTTCCAGCGACAGAGAAAGGATTCAGAAGTGAGTGAGGTTTTTTGGGGGAGGGCGAAAAGCTTTGTGTTCAGGAAAGCATCAAGAAAGGGAACCAAAGAAAAAGGGACAATGAAGAAAAAGAAATAATGAGAGATATGGGTGTGTGTGTGGAGATACAAAATGGAAAGAAGACCACCAAGAAACATTGTTTAAAAAAGAGGATATATTTATGTGTTTATTTATTTATTGTATTTATTGATTAGTTCGATTTATATGCCGCCCTTCTCCGGAGACTCAGGACGGCTTACAATGCGTTAAGCAATAGCCTTCATATTTTTTGTATATACCTGCTTAGTAGGGCTTTTGCCCCCCCCCCCAAGCGGTGTTCTTTTTTTATATAAAGTCAGCTTATTGCCCTCACAATCCGGGTCCTCCATTTTACCTACCTCAGAGGGATGGAAGGCTGAGTCAACCTTGAGCCTGGTGAGATTTGAATTCGCAGTAATTGCAGGCAGCTGGTGCTATTTAACAGCACTTTAGTCTGCTGCGCCACCAAGGATCTTGATGTTGTATGTTATGTGTTTGTCATATTGTGTTGTAATAAAATATTAAAAATTTTAAAAAAAAGAAAAGGGTAGGTGAAGAAACATACATGGTGGCATCACAATAGCAACTCTGTGCCGTAGAAACTTGTGTTCTGTGTTAAGACGTTGCAACACACGGTTTCATCATTTTTATTTTCGCCAGTGCTGTTTGGACTGGATGTCTGCAACAGGAAATCATGTATTTCATTATATTTTACCGTGTTCTGTTAAAGATGTGTTTCTACCAATTGCAATATACATTTTAGCTTCCTCTAGACCAGGGGTGCCAAACTCAATTTCATTGAGGGCCACATCAGGGCTGTGGTTTACCTTGGGGGGCTGACTGGTTGGGTGTGGCTGATTGGGTGGGTCATTCAAAGTCATTCAAAGTAAAGAGCTATTTTCTAGAATATTTTCAGTTTTCTCCTTCCATTTGCAAGTTTTAATCCAGCCCCTTCATCTTGTTTTTCCCAGTTCCCCAACGAAACACATTTTCACTTGCTAGAAGGAAGTAGGAATTGACTGTGTTTATTGAGCATCTGGTCTATTGATCGTCTCTCTTCTTTTTATTTTGAATATATTGAAATAAGTTCTTTTTATTTACATTTGGCGTCTCACCCCATATCATTCTCAGCTTTAGCTTTCTTGCTTGAGTCTTTAGTTCTGATCTAAAGTTAGCTTTGATCTACCTGTGAGTATGTTTTTTGGGGCCTCTCGTTTTTTCCACCTTGTTTCTTCTTTAAAAGGACCGTTTCTGTTGAAGAAGAATCCAAACGCCTTCTGCAAAATATGTCTCTTTCCTCATTAGTCTTTTTAGATTTAGAGAATCTTAACAATCATACATTTCTACACTTGTATCTCAAAGTAAGAAAAAATCATAAGAGAAATAACCAATGTTTGCAGTTCAAAACACAGTTAGTGTTCACGATCAGCCTAGAAGTTCAGTTTAGGAGGAACAGTCTTGGCATTAAGAGAACTGATGTAGATGAGTGAAAAGAACATATTAGGAAGGAAAGTCTCTATGTGCCTAGTGTTCCAGAAAATATGGGTGTTGCAAAATTGAACTTTATTGGTTGGTTTAAAATAAGATAAGCAACTTTTATTTTTCTTCTACTCTTTTTTCATTTCCTAACCCTCACCACCACTACCACCACTTCCTCCTCTTCCTCTCCCTGTCCCCCTCCTCCTTCCTTCGTGTCCCTCTCCTCTTCCTCCTACTGCTCCTCTTCCTCCTGCTCTTCTTCTCCATGTTCCTCTCCTCCTCCCTTCCCTGTCCCTCTCCTCTTCCTCCTGCTCCTCCTCTCCATGTCCCTGTCCCCCTCCTCCTCCCTTCCCTGTCCCTCTCCTCCCTTCCCTGTCCCTCTCCTCCTCCCCTCCCTGCCCCCCTCCTCCTCCCTTCCCTGTCCTCCTTCTCCTCTCCGTATCTCTCCTCCTCCTCTCTTCCTTGTCCCTCTGCTCCTCCTGCTCTCCCTCCTTTCCCTGTCCCTCTCCTCCTCCTCTCCCTGTCCTCCCCCTCCTCCTCTCCCTGTCTCTCTTCTTCTCCTCTTCTCTTCCTTGTCCCTCTCCTCCTCCTTCTCCTCCTCCTTTCCCTCTCCTCCTCCTGCTCCTCCTGTTCCAGAGTATTACAACCCAGATGGTAATTGCCTCTTTTTTTTTTTTTTTTTAACCATGGAATCCACTGTGTTTTCTTTTTTGTACTCATTGGGCTCCACAGCTGAAGTAAGGGCTGCAGGTGTCAAAAAGTGCGGGGAGGTCTCGGTTCTATGCTGGATAAATAAAACTGAACTGATTGTACAAGAGCTATTTTCTGCATTGCAAAATCTGGTTTGGAAAAAAAAAAAGAAAAAAAAAGAAAGCAACCCTGGAACTTGATTTGTCATTTGTTTCTTGGCAGCAGAACTGCCAGAGCCTGCGGACAGTCTGCCAGACATCCCCTGGCAACCAGAGAGCGTCTGCTTGGTAATCTGCATTCGTACATAATCAGTTTCAGGTTGTTTTCAATAGACGCCGAGTGTAAAATATTTTGGATTAAACAGATTGCATTGACTTTATGTAACTTGTTCAGCTGCCATCTATAGCGCACAGCATGTCTTCGGTGGCAACCAGAACTGGTAGTACAGATTTAAATGGCTTGTTGAAGAGGGTTTCCCCCTCCCCTCTAGTCTGCTTTTTCAATTGTGGGTGAGAGGGATGAAATGGAGAGCGATTCAGAAATGGGAAGTCCGCAGGTTTCTCTACGTCTTACTTATTTATTAAATTTCTATGCTGCTTACAACGAGATAAAAATGACAGTATAAACCATTGAAATGATAAAACATTAGTGTTAAAATTAACAGATAGCTAAGGAAGGAAGAAGTAGAAGAAGAGCAGGCAGAGCTGGGGGTGGGTGGAGTTAAACATGTTATCATCTTAGAGTCGATGCATTTCCACAAAGGGTCCAAGTCAGTGGTGGGTTCCTCCTGGTTCGGCCCGGTTCTTCCGAGCCAGTAGCGGTGACGATATGACGTCACCGAACCGGTTCTGCCCCCCCCCGTGTTCCTCCACCCCCGCGCTCCCTCACCTCCCGGGCCCCCCCACACCCCCGCGTTATTCTTACCTTTTATTTGGCCCCACCCCCATCTATTGCTGCCTCCTGAGTCCCAGCTGATGGCTAGAGGGAAAAAAAACTGTTTAAACTCTTGCCACCGGGCTTCAAAGGGCCGCCCTACAGCTGATCAGTGTTAAAAGAAAACAAATGAGTAGACCAGTGCCTGCAAAAATACATGAGTAGATCAGTGCCTGCAAAAATAAATGGGTAGACCAGTGCCTGCAAAAAATAAATGAGTAGATCGGTACAGCTCTGCAAGCAGTTAAAAGCCTGGTAGACCAGTACCTCTGCTAAATCCTAAATAATTGTCACATGACCATCAAGCCACGCCCACAAAATAAGCCACGCCCACAGAACCGGTAGTAGAAAATTTTAGAACCCACCCCTGGTCCAAGTACAATCCTTCTAGAATTCTGTTGACCCTTATCTGATGCCAATTTAGAATTGAACTTTAATTGACTAGATCCTTCCGAATAGTCTTGAGCAATGAATCCTCTGAAGTAGAATTTAACACGGCCTGATTATTCGCACCTGATACTTTATAGGCCAAATTCACCATGGGCAATGTATCTGTTTAGATGTAGCCATAGAAAGCAAGACATTTTAAGATTCTGGAGTGAAATATTTTTGACCAGGGGGAAAACTGCATTTACAAATCTGTTGTCTCCAAAGATCTGCCAAGCTACTAGGAACTGAGTTAACTCCAGTAATTTGGGTGTCTTTAATAAACCTGTTCACGATTTCCCCCTTATTTTTAGGCAACAAATTCAGAGAGGCATTGAAGATTTACAGAACGTTAAGCCAGGAGGTGAAACATATATGCACGAAGGATTACAAAAAGTAAGTTCTTTGCATTTTCTGTAATTGGAGATGCAATTGCTGTTTGAGAACTTTCAACCTTTTGAATCGTTTTTTGCAATTTTTTTAAAAAATTGGTATTATTTCTAACATGCTTCATTCCTGAAGAATTCTGGGCAGCATACAGGATGCTGATGCTGATGTTGCTCTGAAAAACTTTTTGGCAAATAATGCAAATACACACAAGGATAAACACACAAAGAACTGTGACTCATAGAGCAGAAAGACAGAGTTGAAAGGGACTTTGGAGATCCTCTAGTCTAACCCCCTGCTCAAGCGGGAAACCCTATACCAGCGATGGCTAACCTTTTTTGCCATTGCGTGCCAAAAGCAAGGGAAGCGCGGGAGGGTCGCCCACGCGCGTGCCCATACCCATAATTCTATGCACCCCAACCCCCGCGCATGCACGCGCGACACGCCTGCGCTCCTCCTACTTTTCGCATGCGATGACCTGGTGGGCCCGATTGGCCCGTTTTTCGCCCTCCCCAGGCTCCAGAGACTTTCTAGGAGCCTGGGGAGGGTGAAAACGGCCTTCCCCACCCCCTGGAGGCCCTCCGGAAGCTGGAAACGGCCCGTTTCACGACTTCTGGTGGGCCCAGAAGGCCTGAAAATCAGCTGTCCAGCACGCACATGTGCACCGGAGCTGAGCTCGCGTGCCCACCGATATAGCTCCACGTGCCACCTGTGGCACGCGTTCCATAGGTTCGCCATCACCGCTCTATACTATTTCAGACAAATGGCTGTCCAATCTCTTCTTAAAAGTTTCCAGTGTTGGAGCATTCACAACTTCTGGAGGCAAGTTGTTCCACTGATTTATTGTTCTCACTGTCAGGAAATGTCTCCTTAGTTCTAGGTTGCTTCTCTCCTTGATTAGTTTCCACCTGTTGCTTCTTGTCCTGCCTTCAGGTGCTTTGGGGAATAGCTTGACTCCCTCTTCTTTATGGCAGCCCCTGAGATATTAGAACACTGCTATCATGTCTCCCCTAGTCCTTCTCTTCACTAGACTAGCCATGTCCAGTTCCTGCAACCGTTCTTCATATGTTTTAGCCTCCAGTCCCCTAATCACCTTTGTTGCTCTTCTCTGCACTTTTTCTAAAGTCTCAACATCCTTTTTATAGCATGGTGACCAAAACTGGGTCTAAGAGCTAAGCTAGCAATGGAAGATAAAATTATGATGTAATGTCTTTTTGGAGGAGACATCTTCCACCAGGGCACTTAAAACTAAGAGGAAAGTAAAATGATCACTCTTATGAACGGAAGGAAGATTTCATGGCTAACTGAAGTAAAAGCAAATGCTTTCTCTAAACGGATTGTGGTGTTAGCGATGGGTGGGAAAACCACTTCATTAAAAGGGTTCAATCCAATATCGTAATGGGCTGTAAAAATAACCTTGAGGAATGGAAGGAAGAACCACAACCCAGACAAGGGTTAGATAAAAGAAATTTGAGTCCCTGGCAGAAATGCAATTTGAGAACCGTCCCTGGTTTTCACAGAGATACAGTGAAGGAGGAGGGAAAGCACATTCTGTTATTGTAATCCTATAATAAAAGTAATACAAGTAGTCCTTGATTTACAGCCATTTAATGGTGACAGTTTAGAGTTACAACGGCACTGAAAAGGTTAAGAAAAAATTTCCTGCCTGTGAGAACAATTAATCAGTGGAACGATTTGCCTCCAGAAGTTGTGAATGCTCCAACACTGGAGGTTTTTAAGAAGAGATTGGGCAGCCATTTGTCTGAAATGGCATAGGGCAGTGATGGCTAACTTTTTTGGCGTTGTGTGCCAAAAGCGGGGGGTGGGGGGTGGGTGTTGCGCGTGTGTGCCCACACCCATAATTCAATGCACCCTGCTCCCCCTGTGCTCCCCCCGCTTGGTACGTGATGGCCCGGTGGGCCCAGTAGGCCCGTTTTTCGCCCTCCCCAGGCTCCAGAGCCTTTCTAGGAGCCTGGGGAGGGCGAAAACAGCCTTCCCCAGCCCACCGGATGGTCCTCCGGAGGCCAGAAACAGCCTGTTTCCTGACTTCCAGTAGGCCCAGAAGGTCCAAAAATCAGCTGGCCAGTGTGTGCATGCGCATCAGAGATGAGCTAGGGCAGTGATGGCTAACCTTTTTGCTGTCACGTGCCAAAAGTGGGGGGAGCACAGGGGGGTTGCGCCCGTGCGTGCCCACACCCATAATTCAATGTGCCCTGCCCCCTACTCATGCACACGTGACTCCCCCGTGCAACCCCCGCTTTTGGCATGCAATGGTCCGGTGGGCCCGGTAGACCTGTTTTTCGCCCTCCCCAGGCTCCAGAGGCTTTCTTGGAGCCTGGGAAGGGTGAAAACTGCCTCCCCCCCCCAGGAGGCCCTCCGGAAGCTCGAAACGACCCGTTTCCCGACTTCTGGTGGGCCCAGAAGGCCCGAAAATCAGCTGGCCGGTGCGCACATCTGCGCTGGAGCTGAGCTAGGGCAATGCTCGCGTGCCCACAGATATGGCTTCTCATGCCACCTGTGGCACCCGTGCCATAGGTTTGCCATCCCGGAGCTAGGGCAATGCTCGCATACCCACTGATATGGCTCCACATGCCACCTATGGCATGTGTGCCATAGGTTCGCCATCATGGGCATAGCGTTTCCTGCCTGGGTGGGGGGTTGGGCTACAAGACCTCTAAGGTCCCTTCCAACTCTGCTGTTCATTTCTGACAAGCAATGTTGCTAAGCGAGACAGTTGTTAAGTTAGTTTTTCCTTATTTTACAGCCTTTCTGGCCACATTTGTAAAGTGAATCACTGCAGTTGTGAAGTTTAGTAACATGGTTGTTAAGTGAGTCTGGCTTCCCCATTGACTTTGCTTATCAGAAAGCCACAAAGGATAATCACATGTCCCTGGGACACTGCAACCATTATAGTTATGTATAAATACTTTTATTTCTACCTGGAAACCGATTCTGGACTTTGTGCTCGAGGTGGGGGGGGGGAAAATGAAACTTTGATTTTGGGTTTTACTGGTTAGATATATTTGTTGTCATAGAAATGGCTAGTCTAAACTATTATGTAAAAGTAAAAAGTTGAGGTTTGATGTTAATGCCTTATTCTTTTGCACCAAAGGAAGTCGGAAGTCAATGCCTTTTCTTTCTTTTTTCCCTTTTTTCCCTCCCTTTTCCTTTCCCTATCCCTTCCCTATTTTTCCTATTTGCTTTTGTGTTTTCTTTGTATATGACAACATAAATAATAAAATTACTTTAAAAACCCATTATAATTATGAGTCATTTGCAAAGCGTTGTAAATTTGATGAGGTTGCCACAGTGGTTGTAAGTGTGAAAAATATCATGAGTCACTTTTTTCAGTGCCGTTGTAACTTCCAACCAGTGGTGAAATCTAAAATTTGTTACTACCGGTTCTGTGGGCGTGGCTTGGTGTGTGTGTGTGGGGGGTAATGTGACTGGGTGGGCGTGGCCAATTTTTTTTTTTTACTTTTAAAACCATTTTTTCTACAACTTCTTCAGCGAAGAGGTTGTAAAAAAATGCTTTTAAAAGGCTCTGACGATCCAAGCTGAGTTGCCTGATCATCAGAGGCATTTAAAAGAAAAAAAGCCTCTGCGGATCAGGCAACTCAGCTGGGATCGTCAGAGCCTTTTGAAAGCATTTTTTCAAACCTCTTCAGAAAAGCAACCTTTTCTGAAGAGGTTGTAGAAAAAATGCTTTTAAAAGCCTTTGACGATCCTAGCTGAGCCATGCGATCATCAGAGGCTTTTTTTTTTTACTTTTAAAAGCATTTTTTCTACAACCTCTTCGGGCAAAAAAAGTTTAAAAAAAAAGCCTCCGATGATTGTGTGGCTCAGCTGGGCATGGGGGGGGGGCAGGTTCTGTAAGTTGTAAGTTGAGAACTACCTGTATATCTTTCACGCTGACATTAAATGTCAAAATTTGGGTGTATCTTGATCAAGTCTTAACTCCTTATGATTCGCTATTTCTGCCCTTCATTTCTTGCTCTTCTCCACTTCCAAATGCAATTGTAAGAGCACAAATTCTTTTGTTTTTCCAGGCAAATGATCAGATTGCAAAAGCAAAAGAGTCCAGCAGTGTCATCATTGCCTTGACAGATGGAAAGTTGGAAGGCTTGATCCCACTGTATGCAAAAAAAGAGGTGAGGGTTGAAGTGCAACAGGACTTTTTATTTTATTTTTTATTTAAAATTTTATACTGCCCTTCTCCCGAAGGACTCAGGGCGGTGCACAGCCAACACTAAAACACACATATACAAAATTTAAAAACAATTTAAAATATATTAAATAATTTGGCTCCAGTCTTATTAAAAAACTAAACCATTAAAATTCATGTTTAGGCCAGCCCAGCTTGTTGAAACAATAAGGTCTTGAGGGCACGGCGAAAGGCGCGTAGGTCAGGGATCATCCGTATCTCCGGGGGCAATTCATTCCAGAGGGCAGGTGCCCCCACAGAGAAGGTTCTCTCCCTGGGGGTCGCCAGTCGACATTGTTTGACTGACGGCACCCTGAGGAGTCCCTCTCTGTGGGAACGTATTGGCTGGTGGGAGGCTATCGGTAGCAGAAGGCGATCTCGTAAGTACCCAGGTCCTAAGCCATGGAGCGCTTTAAAGATGGTAACCAACACCTTGAATCACACCCGGAAGACCACCGGGAGCCAGTGCAGCTCGTGCAGGAGAGGTATTACATGGGTGCGCCGTGTCGAAATGTTGAACTCAACTTCCTGTTGAGTTCAACATTTCCATATGCATGTTATTTTGGAGGGCAAATGTAGACATAACTCTTTTTTTCCCCCTTCTTTGTTTTCTCTGCTACAGGCAGATAATGCCAGGTCCATGGGAGCTAGAGTTTACTGCGTTGGAGTCCTCAATTTTAATCAAGACCAGGTAGGGCCCTCCGTCTTAAAAAAATTGAGAGTCTGCGTATCAAAATGAAAAAAATAAATAAAGGCGAAGGTGCTTTCTTATTTGAGAAATTTCTTTGGATGAGGAGACCCAAACTCAATGGTAGCCTCACATTGCAATGAACAAGGACATGCTTTCAATTTCATAACTACTATGATTGTTGGCCGAGCAGGGACAAAAATAGCCAGAGAAATGATTGAAGCCTGGGAAACGGGCCCCTTGACAGTCAATAGGCATGCTGAATTATCACCAGCCTATCAGATATTTAGGAGCGGAGGGTGCAGGGGCACAAGGAAACAATACACAACGATGTAGTAGGCAGTCATTAACATCCTAATTAAAAACTAAAAGCTATACATAACCAGGAGTGGGCTTCAAAAATTTTGGCCATTAAAACACTCTGCCAGCTCCATTCAGTTGCCCAGACTCCACCCCGCAAGGGATTATGGGGGTCGTTCAATGAAGATGATGGCTTAAAATGGGTGGAAAATCCTACCATCATTGTTTTGTGAATTGCTGCTAAATTTCAGAGGTATAATTTATTGGGGGGGGGGGTGTTCCAGGATATACACTCAGCTCCACTCACAAAGCTAAGAGGCACGTAGCTTGTGACCTGCAACTACCCTGTTTTCCCGAAAATAAGCCTCCCCCTGAAAATAAACCCCGCCCCAAAAATATTTAAACGCAGAGTTGGAAATCAGGTAAGACGGCAAGAGGAGCCCCATCGTGCTCCACGCGCCCCAAAATAATAAGACCTCCCCGAAAAGAAGGCCAAGCGCTTATTTCGGGGTTCAAAAAAATATAATGACAGGGTCTTATTTTCGGGGAAACACGGTAGCCCATCCCTCTGTTATGCATTCAGTGTGTAATATGTAGTTTGACCCTTAGCCTGAAGCTCCTGTTTCTGCTAAATTGGATCATTTACCCTGGGTTCAAGATAGTTTCGTTTGGTTGGCTGCTCTCTCTGATGCCTTGCATCATACTCTGAATGGACTTGGAGAGAAACAAGGATAGCATAATGGTTAGTTTGGTTTCAGAGAAAAGAACCAAGCAGATTCAGTGAAAGCCATTCCGTAAATGAAACTGCTCCTTGTTTTTCTTTGGTGACCTTTCATAGCTGGGAATCTTCCTTGGGTTTCGTTGTGTTTAGATTGTTTTGCTGTGGGAATAAGAAAAATTACCACTAGTAAACAGGATTTTGTCTATACCTGTGGTTCTCTCGAAGCCATGTATTTCCCCACCCTGAATCTTGGCTAAATCTTATGCGTGCACGTCTTGTCTATCTGTGTCTAAAGGTTGGTAGCGCAAATCTCTGTTGTATTTGTGCTCACTTCCCTAGCTCGAAAGCATTGCTGATTCAAAGGATCAAGTCTTCCCAGTAAGAGAAGGATTTCAAGCTCTCCGAGGGATAATTAATTCGGTGAGTATTTGAAAAAAGTGCATCTTGTTTAATTTGCTAAGTTTGTTTATTTTATTTTTTAAAGACATTTTTTTTGCAGCTATTTCGTTTTTTTTTTTATCTTAACGATGGGTTCCCTGGCCTTTCTTAGCTCCAGTGCTTTCTTCTGGAATGGGCTGATTTTGAACAAATTAGAATTGCTTTGTTGCACGAGCAAGCATCTAGAGCAGGGATGGCAAACTTTTTTGCCATTGTGTGCCAAAAGCGGGAGGAGTATGGGGATGGGTGGGTGTCGCGGGCACATGTGCCCATACCCATGATGCAATGTTCCCCCGCACGCCCTGCCCCCACGCGCATGCGTGTGTGACCCCCCCCCTGCTGCCCCACCCCCTGCAGATGCGCCCATGCTCCCCGTGCATGCACACACGACTCCCTCTGTCCCATTTTGGGCTTAGCAGGCCTCCCTGAAGCCTCCGGAGGCCAGAAATAGCCCATTTTTGGACTTCCGGTAGGGCTGTTTTTTGCCCTCCCATTGCTTCTTGTCCTGCCCTCAGGTGCTTTGGAGAATAGCTTGACTCCCTCTTCTTTGTGGCAACCCCTGAGATTTTGGAACACTCCTATTATGTCTCCCCTAGTTCTTCTTTTCATTAAACTAGACATACCCTGTTCCTGCAACCGTTCTTCATATGTTTTAGTCTCTGGTCCCCTAAAGTTCAGAGGAATTGTTCAGTATTGAATTGGTGCCACATAACAAGGGTTGGACTTTAATTGTTTGTGGCGATGTAATGATTCTAAGCTTATGATGCACTTAACTCTGCCCCCTAGCTCTGTTTGTTCTTCTCCTATAGATCTCCATTCACAGGAAAGGAGCTGAGATAGATTCATATTTTTGAGCAAGTTAGTATGAGAAGATATATGATCCTGTGCATGGTATTTCCCTTGGAGAGCTTCACATGTTTCTATTTTAGGGAATTTATTCTGGAATGTAAATATACTGGCAGGGTTTGATTCCTAAAAAGGATCGGCTTGCTTAATGGTTTCTGTATAGATAAATTGCGTCTTTAAATTGCACTAGGAAGAACTGTATTGATCGAGTTCCTTTCCTTAAAGAAAACTGCGGTGTGAAAGCTTTGTGAAACCGTTTAACTCTGCATATTTATTTCTGTAGTAAAATAAATACACAATTCTTCATTAAGGAAAGATATATGCTGCAGCAAATGTAAATGCATTAAATTTGAATGAGAATTTTTGGGAAATATTTGCTAATGAATTCGTTTTGGGTTGTTCATTGTGGATTAAAGGGTTTGAGTCAAATGTTTATAGCTGCCAGTTCAGCTGGTACATCAAAACATGCTTTTAACACCAGCTGCGAGCCAGGAATTGCTGCTATGCAGATAGTCCTTGACTAACAACTGTTTGTTTAGTGACGGTTTGAAGTTGCAACAATGCTGAGAAAAAAAAAAGAGTGACATATGACCGTTTTTCACACTTAACGACCGTTGCAGCATCCCCATGGTCATGTGACCAAAATTTGGGTGTTTGGCAACTGGCATGTATTTGTGACTGTTTCTGGGTCACATGATCACCATTTGTAATCTTCCCAACAATCAAAAGTCTAATGGAAAAAGCGAGATTCACTTAACAACCACATGATTCACTTAACAATTTTAGTAATTCATTTAACGACTGTGGTAGAAAAGTTGTAAAATGGGGCATAACTCACTTCAAACCTGCCTTGTTTAGCAATAGAAATGTCGGGCTCAATTGTGTTCGTAAATCGAGGCCTACCTATACTTAATGCCATTTTCCTCAGAAGAGGAAAACACTGTTAAGAATAGGTAGGCCTCGACCTACGAACACAATTGAGCCCGAATTAAATCTTACAAAGTAAGATCACCTGACGAATTAAAATTTGGCAACAATTTTGGAGCACAGGTAGTCCTCGACTTACAACAGTTCATTCAGTGACCGTTCAAAGTTACAAGGGCACTGAAAAAAAGGGACTTATGACCATTTTTCACACTTGTGACCGTTGTAGCATCCCCATGCCCACGTGATTTAACATTCACATGCTTAGGCACTGACTCACATTTATGACGGTTGCAGTGTCCCAGGGTCGTGTGATCCCCTTTTGCGACATTCTGACAATCAAAGTCAACGAGGAAACCAGATTCACTGAACAACTGTGTTACTAATTTAACAACTGCAGTGATTCACTTAAGAAATGTGGCGAGAAAAGTCATAAAGTGGAGCAAAACTCACTTAACAAATTTCTCACTTAGCAACATAAATTTTAGGCTCAATTGTGGTCGTAAGTTGAGGACTACTTGTAGTTATATCCCTCCCCTGAGGTTTTCAGGGTCCTATGTGAAGCCCTGTGACGGTAAATTATACAGATTTTGTACAGTACTGATATCTGTTTGTCTATCACTAGAGTTGTTCTTTGAGGAAGATAGGCAGTCTCTAAATATGATAAATAAATAAACTCAAAGTTGTGTGAAGATTGTTTTACTTTAATATGGGGCCTTGTCTTGGATTATATTTTAGGAAAAAGAAGGTCGCTTCGGTTGCATTGTGAAAAATGGGCAGACTAGTATTTTGTGGAATTATTTTTGATTTTTAGTTGTTGAAAAACAAATCCTTCGATAATGGATCAGAGGAGGATTTGATTATTCTGACTAGAGAATATCTGGACAAATGCAGCAGGACAGAACACAGATAGATAATATTCTGCTGCAGTTGAATTGCAAGTAACCTTTAGCCAGCTTTTCCGTTGCTGTGAACATCTCCCAACTTTACAGAACTTTTTTACGCGAACGCAGATCTGTCAAAATAAATACAAGCGGAAAGTTGACCAATCTGCTGAAGTACCGCTAGAATATCTAGGCCACAAAAATGTGCCCAATCACTACATATGACGTCTTACTATTTTTTTTGTATATGTGTTTGTACACTTTAGGGTTTTTTTTGTTGTTGTAACAGTTCCGAATGTTGCAATTGTTGAATATTGAAATATGACTCACAGCTGTAACTGGGTGGTGAAAGAAAATAATCTTGGAAAACACTTTATTTTCACTTTATTGTGTAGGAAAAAGTTGAATTCATTATGCAAAGTGTACATAGTATGAGCATGGTAAAGTAAAGTTAATATGATTATGTATAGGCTTGACAGGGAAAACATATTTAGAACATCCATATACATGATGTGGTCTTAACTGCTGTGCATCATTGGTCTTTCTGTTGCAGCCCCAGAAATCTTAAATGCTCCTCATTTAAGGTTTGCACGTACAAAATAGTTTGGCTCTTGCATTGATTCTCTTGCAGATGCATTGTGCTTAATGCATGGCAAAATACATCACTATTTCTGCAGTCTATTACAGTTACACAACCTGGGCATATAGAAGGAGACAAATCTTAAGTAAGATTTGCATGGAATATGGACTAGCAGTGTGCAGCGGCAGCCAAAAAAGCCAACACAATCCTAAATTGCATTAACAGAGGGATACAATCAAGATCAAGTGAGGGACTAATACCACTCTATAAAGCCTTAGTAAGACACACCTAGAATACTGCATCCAGTTTGGTCACCATGCTATAAAAAAAGATGTTGAGAATCTAGAAAGAGTGCAGAGAAGAGCAACATATATGAAGTTAAAACATACGATGAATGGCTGCAGGAACTGGACATGGCTAGTCTAGTGAAGAGAAGGACCAGGGGAGACGTGATAACAGTCTTCCAATATTTGAGGAGCTGCCACAGAGAGGAAGTTTTCCAAAGCGCCTGAAGGCCAGACAAGCAATAATGGATGGAAACTGATCAAGAAGAGATTCAACCTAGAAACAAAGAGAAATTTTCTGACAGTGAGAGAGCAATCAACCAATGGAACAGAAGTTGCGTTTGGAAATTGTGGGAGCTTCATCACTGGAGGTTTTCAAGAAGAGACTGGACTGCCATTTGTCGGAAATGGTGTAGGGGCTCCTGCTTGGGGTGGGGGTTGGACTAGATGACCTACAAGGTCCCTTCCAACTCTGTTGAAAAGAAGCAGTCCTCCAGATGGGTGCAGTTACTGTTATGATTCTGTATCTACAACAATCGGCTTGTAGCTAACACTGAGATATAAGGTGTTGTTTGTCTGTTTTTAGCTTGATTTGTGTATGGTTTGCAGCCTCAGTGGTCATTGCTCAGTTCTTTGTGATTGCATCCTGCTACGTCAGCCTTCTCCTGCCCACCCAAGCATCCTTCAGAAGTGTGGACCTGAACTGCCAGAATGCTTAGCCAATGATGTTGGCTGAAGATTTCTGGGTGTTAAACGGGACTGTGTCCTCACCCATCCTCTCAGTAGTTTGGTATGCATGCAAATCAAAACACTTTAGAGACACAAGTCTTTTTCTCCCCTGTTTCAATCTAATGAGCACCAGTGGATTAAGGTCAGGATCCAACCCTGGACCAGTGGATTAAGGTCAGGCCCCCCCCCCCCCCAAAAAAACCAGAAAGACAGGTTGTGATTTTTCCAACAACAAAGATTTCTTCATTGCTCGTCACCTATAGACAGAATCTTGCCAAACTAAAGCAAACTACCATCTCCATAAAGCATATATTCCGGGAACTATTAGGGAGGAGCTGTCTTCACCTTTTTTCTCTCACATGAATTATCTGAACTGAGTTGTCTCTTGCTCCTCTGGAATGCTCCTTCTGGGAGTCAGCATGACCATTGGGAATTACATGTAGTCCTTGACTTACAACCATTTGTTCAATGACCGTTCAATCTGTCATTGAAAAAAGTGACTTTGGATCGTTTTCACACTTAAAACCATAGCAGCATCCTCATGGTCACATGATCAAAATTAGGAGGCTTGGCAACTGACTCATATTTAGATGGTGGCAGTGTCCCGGGGTCATGTGATCACCTTTTGCGACCTTCTGACAAGCAAAGTCAATGGGGAAGCCAGATTCACTTACTGTGGCGAGAAAGGTCGTAAAAAGGGGCAAAACTCAGTTAACAACTGTCTCGCTTAGCAAA